AAAGTGCTGAAACCAGGCGGAAATTTGTTGCATTATTCTCTATAAACTACAAGCAGAGCTCATTAATTGAAAAATGAATGTCAACTGGCATTAGCTGGCATCCGTAAACTGAAATGGAGAAATGACCGTGGCACACGCTGTGCTGTAAACAATATATCAGTGAAGCTGCAACAGGTAAAAAAAAAAAGCTCATGCAAAACCAATCCTAGACTGTTATTGGCAAGCTCCCAAGTCTAGGGTTTTTAATGAGGCTTCTGCATCAAAATAAGTGAAACCACATGGAATTTTAATTGTTCTTATTTTAAATACAAAACACAAGAGCAGTATGGTCTGCAGGAAAGAAAGTACGTACTAACCTACTGCTTTAGTGTAGAGATTGACGTTTTAACATTACTTCATTTCTGTTCTAAATTTATATCTCACGGACGATTTGTATGCCAAACTACATTTGTGCAGAACTTACCTAGTAAATTTAAGTACAGTTCACCTAAACTCTCTGAGATGTAAATCCTTTGGGTAAAGAGGTAAACTGTGATTTGATTTTTCTTTTATGTTGTTAATTAAGCTCCATAAAATGATCATATCATAGAAGACAGAAATTGCATTAAAGATGCCTATTTCCATTTCTGTCTTTGCAACAGCAGTGGAGGAAACACTGTTTTCACTAAACAAGTGTAGCTTGGGCAAAGCTTTCAGCCCTGAAATAGGCTGCAGGTTGCATGTGTCACTTTTGTGAAAAGTGACACTTTGTGAGATTGGGAGGCCTCAAATTCAAACTACTTTCAACCACTGGTATATCAGAGAAATCAATGTATATCTTTAATTGTGGATTGGGATGTGGGGGAGGGGCGGTATTTCAAGACACATGCTTTGCTGCACTTTCAAATTATTATACTATCAACCAGGGGTGGCCAACCTCAGCCTGAGAAGGAGCCAGAATTTACCAATGTACATTGCCAAAGAGCCACAGTAATATGTCAGCAGCTCCTCATAAGCTCCACCCTCCACCCCCATACTCCCAGCACCTCCCACCCACCGGCAGCCCCGCCGATCAGTGCCTCCCCCTCCCTCCCCACACCTCCCGATCAGCTGTTTCATGGCGTGCAGGAGGCTCTGGGAGGGAGAGGCGAGGAGCGAGGGCACTGCAGGCTCAGGGGAGGGGGCAGGAAGGGGTGGAGGGGGGGCAGGGCCTGTGGCAGAGCCAGGAGTTGAGCAGTGAGCACCCCCGGCACATTGGAAAGTTGGCACCTGTAGCTCCAGCCCCAGAGTCGTTGCCTATACAAGGAGCCGCATATTAACTTCTGAAGAGCCACATGTGGCTCCGGAGCCACAGGTTGGCCACCCCTGCTATCAACCATCATCATTACTTATGTGCATGGCACTTCATAGCACAAATACAAATAAAGATAGATTCCATGCCCAGAAGGGCTTACCATCTAAGATCCCAATCCTGCAAACAGTTATGCACATGTTTCAATTTACATGCATAAAGTGGTTGCAGGATCAGGGCCCAAGTTAAAACAAAAGCAGTGGAAGTAGCTAAGACAAGGAGGGAAGGGGGAGGGCCTACGGCAAAGTGAGGTCAATAAAATGACATGGGCACAGGAGAGGCTAGAGCATGAGTCTCCAGGGTTACCGTTTTTAAAAGCTGTGATATCAATGGTTTGATGCAGTGAGACTTAGAGTGTCCAAGTAAGCCTGAAAAGGTGGGTTTTGAGACGAAAAACAAGGCATGGCAGACATTTGTTTTCCCATTAAGAACTTCCTGCAACCCAGCACTTTTCTGATCAACCCTGAAAATAATATGCTTGCACAAGGGCAGTACAGAAATGTTGGTAAGGAATCACATTGCAACTTAATCCAAAAAGTTAAAGATGTGGCTAAAAGGGAATTTGGCGAATTGGGCAGTGACCGAATTGCAAGTAGGAGCAGTGCAGACATAACCCTATAAGAAGAAATTGCATTTATTCAGTGTTTGGGTAAACAGGACTCTGTGCTTTATAAGCAACAGTGAAAAAACATCAAAAGCATCTTGGGCTTTTTAAAAAGAATTGTACTTATTGCAAAGAAACAAAATATAAATACTTAACAACGTACAAATTCCACATCTACCTTTGAATTCAACTTGCACTCGTGTAAATTAGGAGCAACTTAGTTCAAGTCAGTAGAGTTACATTAATTGAGAGCATCATAAGGACTAACAGATTCAGACTCAGTATCTCAAGCAGCTGGAGAAACTGTTCAATAACCTTACATTCCCCGATACGTATCAGACCTTCTCACAGTATAAAAGGAGCAACATGATAGCGTTCCAAAATAACAGCTTTGTTTCTGGGTGGTATGGCCTCTGGCTGCTGTTTGTAGTTAGGATCTTTGCATGCAGTGACACAGTGTTTGCTATAAAAGTACAGTAGAACCTCAGAGTTACAAACACCTCGGAAATGGAGGTTGTTTGTAACTCTGAGCAAAATGTTATGGTTGTTTTCAAAAGTTCACAACTGAACTTTAACTTAATACAGTTTTGAAACTTTACTATGCAGAAGAAAAATGCTGCTTTTAACCATCTTAATTGAAATGAAACAAGCACAGGAACAGTTTCCTTACCGTGTCAATTTTTTAAAAAAAAACTTTCCCTTTTTTTAGTAGTTTATGTTTAACACAGTACATGTATTTTTTTTTTTTTAATCTCTGTTGCTGCCTGATTGCGTACTTCTGGTTTCAGATGAGGTGCGTGGTTGACTGGTCAGTTCCTAACAGTGAGGTTCTACTGTACAAGCTACTTTACATTCAATAGTGCTGGGGTTTAGTGGGCTGGTAAATGGATATGGAGTCATTCACTTCTAGGTCACTGATTCAACTCCAGATCAGGTAGTAGTAATCATATAATGATCACTCCTAGAAACGGCCCCACACTGGAACTTTAAATCTAGCTCTCTTTAAATTTCTGAAGAGGTTGGATTAGAATCCTTCACTTTCAATCAAACCTTGTGATTTTACCCTACTCCAGGAGTCGGCAACCTCTGGCACACGGCTTGCCAGGGTAAGCACCCTGGCGGGCCGGACCAGTTTGTTTACCTGCCGCATCGGGAGGTTCGGCCAATCGCAGCTCCCACTGGCCGCGGTTCGCTGCTCCAGGCCAATGGGGGCCAGCACATCCCTCGGCCCGCGCCGCTTCCCTGGCGAGCCACATGCCAGAGGTTGCCAACCCTGCCCTACGCCTACTCTGGTTCTGAACATTGCCTTTCGGCATATTTCTAATCACCACCTGGCAGCATTTCAACTGGCTTATGTCAAATGAGTTAGTGGTCTTGATGCAGTTTCTAATGGTCAGGCGTCGAAATCATAAAAGCCACCGTGCCAGCTGATGGCACTCAACAGAATCTTTCTGCCTTAGGGTTTTCATTCATGCCCATCATTGTCTCTAGCCATCAAGGCCAAGGACAGGAATGGACCAACCTAACCCCTCACTAGATGGGAATGTTTTCAGGTCAGGTTTGAGGTGAATTGCTGCTATGGTGTGGGAAAGCACTGCTGCTATCTGTTGTGCAGCTTGTGCTGTGGATAAGCAGAGAAATTCAGTGTTCAGTGCAGTCATCTGGCACCTGACAGGAGCCCTAAATTCCCTTTTAAATATAACAGATTTGGTGGTTTTGGGAGAAGAGATGGGTGAACTCATGAAGTTTTGCAAAGCTGCTAAGTTCTCAAACAAAGCAGCACAGGGCCAAAGCAGTTTTAGCTCATGAACACTTTCCCTGCAATTTAAACCAGTGCTCCCTCCATATGCGTGTACACACACACACACACTTACTTCATATGAGGAGAAAGTGAGCACACACTCTAAAGGGTTGTGCACTAGGGAAATATATCCTTCCTACCTTTAAAGGTAGGGCGGCACAAGTGAGTGCCCCTACACTGCATTCTATTTTTTCATTAGACTTCTTCTTTGCCCCTCTCTCTGTTCCCCCTCCCCAATTTTCATTCTGCCAGCTCTCTAATCCAACTTCCACCATCCCTGTTTCTGCTCCCCCCCTCCAGTTTCCTAAGCAGAACACCCAACCTATTATTTTCAAACCTAGAATGTTTGAAGGGAATTGGAAATTGGGCTAAATGAGTTCACCCATCCCTGCTTCATGTCAGAGACGAACTTATTGTAGAGTGTTACCACCAAGAACATTAGAGTAAGCACGTGCTGTGGGGTCTATAGACAACCAGATGGAAGAGACACTATAAGCAGACAGCTTCTGTGAATAATGAGTGTTGGGCTTGCAACTTGCCGTGCACTGTGCTGAAAATTAAAACATGCAGACTTTCTTGCAGCTTGGTGGCTCACCCGGTTTTAAAACTCTTGACATGGAGCCAATAACCTTTTTCATAGATGAAAACCTTGTCCAGTGGATCATGACCTGAGATATATTGAGTGATAAGAACGGTGGGGGCATATTCATCCCTGGTTTAACTCTGTTGATGTCACTAGCATGACTAACTCAGTGTGGCCAGCTCTTGTGATTTTATTGTAAGTCTCGGGATAATTACTGTTGTTCTTAAAGCCCCAGCTTTTGAAGACAAGTGCTCACATGAGACTCAGCTTTCTTTTAAAACAAAAGGTTTCTAGCACTCATGGCTGCAGAGGAAAGCCTGTAAAGGTGACCCAAGTGCACCCTCTATGCTCGGAAACCAGAAGGCAAACAAAATATAATTCAGCATTTATTATTTTTTAAAGTCTCATAGGGGGTGGGGCTGACCAGTGTTTTTTTCAACGCTTGGAGTTGGCAATACTACTAACTCCATTGCCATCAGTGGAGTTACACCAGGGATGCTTTTGGCCCAGCATTTGTATAAGACAGGTCTACGATTCTTTTCCTTGCAATGTATTATTTGATATGATTTGCTGTTCTTTGGGGGACCAAAAGAAGTGGGGTTTCTTTTAAAAAATATCACTTTATTATAAAAAAAATTGATATTTACAGATTTTTTCCCCCATCTTTTGTTATAATTTTTAGGTGCTTCAGAGCTGGGCCCATTTTCAGATCCCAGGCAGTTCACAAGCATTTCATCCCTCACTGAGAGCCGCTTCTCCAACCCACGAATGCACTATCCAGCTACCTTTACCTATACACCGCCAGTCACCTCAGGCATGTCACTGGGTATGTCAGCAACCACTCACTACCACACCTACTTACCACCGCCCTATCCAGGCTCTTCCCAAAACCAAAGTGGACCATTCCAGACCAGCAGCACTCCATATCTCTACTATGGCACTTCATCAGGATCATACCAGTTCCCCATGGTGCCGGGAGGAGACCGCTCCCCTTCCAGAATGCTTCCTCCCTGCACCACCACATCAAACGGCAGCACACTATTAAATCCTAACTTGCCTAACCAGAATGACGGTGTGGAGGCTGATGGAAGCCACAGCAGCTCCCCAACTGTTTTGAATTCTAGTGGCAGAATGGATGAGTCTGTTTGGAGGCCATATTGAAATTTTCTCTGCGCAGCCCAATCTCCGTGAGCCAAAAACAAATGGTCGACAAACTACAAAGTGCCTGTTTTTTAAATAGATTTTACTGATATGTGCAACTATTTAGATGAGATGGTAATGGCCATAAATAACGCAAGAGTGACCAACCAAGCACAATCCATGTTTCAGATTATGTGGATCAAAGCACATATTTTTCTTGGAAACATTTTACACCTTGTTTTATATTTAAAATGTACTTTTTACACACAAAAATAACCCAATATTTTTTTTTGTCTAGACTGTTGTCATAAATAGTGAGTTCGTTTGCCAATAAGGAGAAAACGGACTCCCCAGTTATCAGGAAAAACATGGTGAAGCAAGGCAAAGGTTGCGCTCCATTTTATTTTTTAAAAACCTTGAGCTCCAGATACAGTTGCAATCATACAATGTATGGGACCCTGTTCACTCACATAGTGCAATTCAACTGGCTTGTATTGGTGCACATGAAAGGGAAAGCACAGATCAAGTTGCTTCCATTTTGCTATAATACATTCAGATCATGGTAGATGTTCAAAATTTCTATCCAAGCCTTGTTGCACATAAAAGTTGGAACTTTTCGGTTCATTGCTTTTTTTTCTTTTTGGTACTTAAAGAGAAAGTCTTCAAGGTACCAATCTGAATAGACAATCTTGGGGTTTCCTCTTTGTTTTTCTTATAATTATTTTTGCCTTTGTCCAATTAACCAAAAATAAACCCCAACCCTCCAAAATTAAAGCAAAATCTTATTACTTATGCAAAAAATAAAAATGGCAATATATGATACTCAAGCCAAAATGGTATAGGTAGTACTTGTGTTTGGCTGTGGTTTTTTTTCTTTTTAAATTATAAATGTGTGAAATTTGAAATTATTTGCTAACATAAATCATCATATAACTTTAAAGAAATATTTATAATTATTTAATGACATTTGGACCCTTTAAACGTCTCTTAATGTAATGCTATGTTGACTTCGGTCTCTAAAAGTGGGTTGTTTTTTAAAAAAAATAATTAAATTTCTTCAGCGGTGTGAACCTCAGACCGGTACCTGAACTCTGAAAAACAGTTCCAGTGTGAACTGGTTACAATGTGATTAACCCTCTCCCCAGACCAAAATGCATCCATATCAAATTATTTTGGATGTATCTTTTTAAAAAAATAACCTATGAAGGAAATATTGTGTTTAAAATGTTATTAGCTATCTGGTTGCCTTCAACACATTCTTGCCTTTTAATCAGTAATAACTGAGCTGGTTGAAAAACAGGAAGGAAAAATGAGTGCTTCCACCCCTGATTTTTCTTTCTCCCTGTTTTTTCATCAGCATTTGAAAAATGTTAAATTCAAAACATTGTCAATTTTGACAACGTGTTTCTAATTTTGAAACGTTGGCAAAAATTTTGTCAGCGTCTCAAAATTTATAAAAATTTCAGCTAGCCGTTGTCAGAAATGGGAGACAGGGAGAAATTGTGATTAATGTTTCTTTCATTGAAATTTCAACCAGCTGTAGATAATAATTAGGTTTATGAAACAAAACCAATAGTATTTAGCCTCTTGATGTGATTTAGTCACAATTCACTAGCATCAAATGCTAGAGCAATGAGGATTCTTTTTTGTTTACTTTTTAATAGATATGGCAGTGGTCATATTGCAGAGACAAGCACAAGGGAAGAACTGCTCTGCAGACCAATGCTCTGCCAGTCCGGTGTTCAGCAATAGTCAGATCTTCAAACTTAATACTGAAGATGAAAGTCACCTTAAAGCCCACTCCTGGCTATTAAGCATGGTACACTAATACAGGGATATGAAATTGCACCCGATACCCTTAATCAACATGTCTGCTACCAAACTGTAAACAGAGGCACCCAAATTTTGCAAACCAAGGGTATGTCTACACTACAGGATTAATCCGAATTTAGATAATTCGAATTTGGGAAACAGGTTGTATAAATTCGATTGTGTGCGGCCACACTAAGCACCTCAATTCGGTTTTTAACCACATTAATTCGGTGGTGTGCGGCCACACTACCCCATTAACTTAAACACAGTAATTCGGTGGTGTGCGGCCACACTAACCCTAATTCGAATTAACAAAATCAATTTAGGCTCTACTCCGTTCGTCGAGGTGGAGTACAGAAATCGATTTAAAGGGCCCTTTAATTCGAATTAACTGACTCTGTAGTGTGGACGGGTGAAGGGTTAATTCGGATTAACGCTGCTAAATCCGAATTAATCCCGTAGTGTAGACCAGGCCCAAGGGCTGCATTGGCAAGTTCTCAGGAGTCTGATCCTGATACAAACCCCACTGAAGTTAGTGGGAAACTTTCCATTGATTTCAATGGGTTTTTGGATCAGGCTCCTACTGTACATATTAACCTCTGATTCAGCAGTCCATCCATATTCAGCAAAACACTTACGCATGTGCTTAACTTTAGGCACATGCTTCATTCCCATGGTCTTCAGTGGGACTTGAGAACACGCTTAAGTGTTTTGCTGAATCAGGGCCATAGAGTAGATCAGATTGCAGCCACCCTGGCTTTTAGCAAGTGCAGCCTGCCTAGGCTTCATGCTCCCAGCATGCAGTGCTCTCTGTTGACCCAGCTAGCCTTAATTGCGTCCAGTAACCAGTATTCTCCTTGGGCTGCAACTCTGTTGAAAATGAGGATGTAACCCTCACACTAAATAAATGGTGAACAGTCATCCAGTATAATAATTTATTTGGACAATATAGACATTGTCATCATCAGTCAATGGTTTAGCCAGTCAGCTACAGAGATTACCATGGTACGTTTCTCATAATTTGGTGTGATTACTTGCTCTTAAAAAAAAACAAAAAGTCTTTGCCTTCTAAAGGTTGTATACTAAGTATGCTTAAATAAGTAAGACACTTTTCTAATACTTAGTTTTCCTTCAAAGATGGAAGCTGTAATTGATTCTATTTATTGTTTGTGGTAGCTTGAAGCATACCACTGTCCATTTATTTGTAACTGTAAAATACGTTTGCTAATTTCAGCAGCACTTAAAAAGCCAGTGTCTGGTTACACATTTCAGTTTTGTGTTTTGTTTAGTAAGCAAAAGAAAAAAATGTACTGCCAGTGCAAGCTGTTTCCTATTTAATAAAAGGTACTATATTTGTACATTATTTGTTATTGCTGAGAAGGGCTTTTTAAAGATTTACTGTATGCATATTAAGTAATTTTTTAGGGATGCTTTTGTGTTGAAATGTTGTTAGAGTGGCTGCAGGCAGCAACCCAGAAATTTTTTTCTCCTTAAAGATTTTGTTGTACAATTCAAGCACTTCATTTTATTTCTGGATAAATCCATCATAGACCTGATTTCTGTTTTGCTCAGTACCTACATAACTCTGTTTGTGTCACCCCATTGTTCAACTGGACCATTAGGGACAGACTTGCAAATAGCTTAAGCATGCAATTATGCAATGCAAAATGCATGCCTAATTTGTTGCACTTGCGCTGTGGCAGACCAGGTTGTTCGGGGGTGGGGGTGGCTCATGCTACTGCGCTAAAAATAGATGCATAGACATTGCAGTTGGGCCCTAAAGCCCATCCTCCTATCTAGGCTTCAGAGCCTGAACTGCAGCCTAAGCTGCAACTTCAAAGCACTGGCTACACAGCTATTTTAAGCACAAGTATCATGAGCCCCCCGGTCCAGAGTCTGTTGACCAGGGTTGGGTGGTTTGCTGCCATGGTTTATGTGGATATGCCCTCAGCTTCCAGGATCACACAGGCAAATGGCTAATTCTGCTCATGTGAGCAGGCAAATACTAAGAAGGAGACATCAAAAGCACCCAAAGATTTAGGAGCACAAGCCCCATGGACTTTTAATAGAATGTGTGCTCCTATATCCCTTTGGCACTTTTGAAAAATCTCTTCCTATATTTGCACGGGTGATTGAGGGTAACTGCACAAACACGTCAGTGCACAATTGCATGTCTGAGCTTTTGGAAAATGCTTCCAAGTGCATTTGGAAATGTTCTTGATTCAGGATTTCAGGAAAATATTATGTTATGGAGTTAATCTTAGAGTATCATTTACATTATGATTATTATGAGGATTATTTCCTCAGAGGTACAAGAGCCCTTTTCCTTCGGGGAGTGGAAGTGTTGGTGCAGTTTATGGATTTAGAAATAAAGAAATGCCTTTGTTAATCTCCAGCTCTCTCAGATTCTACCAAAGATGTACTTACATCAGAACAGGTATGATGTCCTTGATACAAAATAGAGCGGTAAATCCAGCTCTCTGTACTCATATAAGTAGGCCTACTGAAGTTAATGGGACCACATGTATGAACCGAGTTGGATTTGACCTAAAATGTCCTTAGAGTGGCATTTATGGATTCTTTTACCAGACCAGCTGCTGTGTACTTCTTAGTCTTGAACTTCCTGCCAGCAGTCCCCCAGCAAAGATTTATCAGTCTCAACAGGTGCCATTTTGAGCGGGGAAACTTTTGCACTGTCATACTTATCGGAATACGGCTCTGCCTTGATTACTGGAGCCTGCCATGGAATCCAGGTTATACGATGTGCCAGGATTCAGACAGACAACAAGCCATGAACTAAAGCAATAATTATAACCTGTACCAGCCATGAGTACAAGATCAAAGAAGCCCAATTCTCTGAACCCCTGAATTTCTTACTGTTTTTTAATAGAATGCATTTCATTTTAACATTTTCTGAGAACTTTTTTAGATGTTTGTTTACTTCCACGTTTACAGATAACTCTTTGCTTTTTTTTAATGCAGTACTTTTAAGTATATCAGCCAAAACCATACTTTTACAGTAACTTTGTTTTAGGTAATACAAGTGACATTCCTTTTTGTTGTTGTTGTTAAATATGTTTTACCAGTCTTGAATTTCTGCTGGAACAAAACATTTGTAGCATTTCTTGTAAATACAAGCTTTAATTTTTTTATTTTTTCAAATACCGTTGCCCAAGATTTGCTTTTCATGCACATATTGTACAAACACATTCTGCTTTGTGCCACAGACAGCGATTGTGGATGAGTTTACTTTAAGTTCAAAGGGACTATTTGTATTGTATGTTGCAACTGTAAATTGAATTGTTTGGCATTTTCTCATGATTGTAATATTAATTTGAAGTTTGAATTTCATTTTCAATAAAATGGCTTTTTTTTTGTTAATGTTCTTCATTGCTTCTTCTCCTCTGCTGTCTCTTTAATTATCCAAGTCACACACCTGAACAGTCAAGGACTGGAGAGAGCTAATATACCATGGGCTATTATACGAAAATTTCATCGGTTGTTTCTTCATTTTCTGCAGTGTTTAAGCTTTCATCTAAACATCAAGATAAGTTTCCAGTCTGGATGCAAAGAAAACCTTCCAGACCTGACCCTCCCCCCGCCCCAAATACTGCTTTCTTCCTGAGTTTGCAGCCAAACTACTTTAAACAGAATTTTTCAGAGGGATGTGAACAGCCCTGTTCATTTTAATGGAGTGATAACTCTGAAACCTAATGGTGAATTTTAACAGAAACAGCCAGTTCATGAGGCATTGTGAGCAGAGCTTAGGATTTTGGGGAGACCTTGAGTAGATTTCAGCACTCTCACTTCTACCTGACTGACCCCTGCACCTGGTCAGACTAATTGTGGAGAGGAGACCTGGGAGAAGTTAATTTTTTCTCCTCTCCCCATGGCACCGGCAGCAGGAGATCAGCCTGGTGTGTGAGCTGCTGAGTTGCCACAGGACCATGTGGAGGAATAGAGTGAATAGCTGTTTGCATTGCTTGTGTCTAAGAGTATCCCTGGTAGAGCATTCCCAAAAAATGCCTTAGCCTCATGGTATCAGTTTGCATTATTTTTTTTACCTTGTGAATATAGAAAACTACTTCGCATTTATAGCAGCTCTTAGGTGTGGGTCTGAGACAGGAGTAATGTATCTGCTGCCTGCAGCTGAAGGCATATGGATAGGAGTTAATAGCTCTTTTTCTTTCCATCAGTCAGACTGCATCTCTAGTAACAAAGGGCAAAAAAGTAGAGGTGCGGTTTTGATGTATTGTACTTTACTCAGGATTGAGGATCCAGTGATAACACCAAACAATCACTTCTCTAGAAGCCCCATCAGTTTCTGCAAAATATAGTTAAAGCAATTAAGTTTCTGCCCTTTGTAGTGATGAAGATAACCTTCCTGACATGAACCAAAGCAGTGCTTCCAAAGAGAAACAAAAGCTCAGGGACGTGTGATAGGCACCATCCGTCTCAAGAAATCTTTAATGCTGAAGTCTAATGATGAAAATGTAAACGGCAATTTAATAGCTGCTTGTTTTAATACAAACATACAGTCCTCAGATTGTGGGTGAAGATGGTACCAGTTTGGCCCCTGACTTTAGGAAAACTTTGCCTGGGAAGCAAGAACCACCAGTGTGCTAGGCAACATACTTCTCTAATGTTTCAATATATTCCAAGTCTTATTGTTAATGAGTTTGGTAAGCGCTTATACCATAAACTATAAAAATCATTAGTGCATAGACCTCTTGGTCAAACAGAGCACAGGGATGGCTGCAGTCACTGATTCAAAACTGCAGTCATTTTCAGGAATCATAGAGCATACAACTCTGCACTCTGATTTGCTGCTGCCCTGAGAACTCATCATTCACATGCCCTCAGCAAACATGGCTGCCTCAACTTTGTGTTTTGTTTAGTATCCAAAAGAAGAAAAATGTAAAACAGTGCATTCCCATAAATTAGTGGAGGGATTTTCAAAAGCACACAAACACTATGGCCTTTAGTCTCAGACTCCAGACCAGATTTTGGTTATAACCTCAGAGAGGAAGCACCCTTGTATCTTATCTGCTCCATTCTGATCTCAGAGCTGTTCCACTTCATGCCTTCAGTGAAATTTC